GGTGCTCCAGCCCCCTTCTCATCCTCATGGCCTCCTTGTGGATCCTCTGGATCCATGTCCTTTTTAAGCTGGGGACACCAGAACTGTACAGAGTACTCCAAGTACAGGGAATATTGCTAATGGGGCATCATACGGTAATTAATTGCATAGGAAGCATCCACTGGTTTCTATTCCAAGTCTGAGAATGGAGAAGCAGGCTGGAGTGCTGCTGTCCCTGTAGGATTTTCAAGTCTACTTGTGGGCTTCAGACAGAAAGTAATACATTTTAGAACAGTGAAAGTGTTTGCACTTCCTTATGCGAGCAGGAGATAGTTAGACCTGGTGTATTTATATATATATGTGTGTGTGTGTGTGAGAGATTTATTTATTTGTTTGTTTATTTATTTTAATTATTATTTGTTAAAAGAAATTTAGCCTCAAAATGAAAATAAGGACTGCAAACTACCCCGGCTAAAGCTGCTCTGTGAGTGCTAGCATTTTAGTTTGCTGCTGATAAGTACTTCTGCACGCTGTCACTAAGCTCTGACATGGTGTTCCCTGCAGGGGTGCCAGGCCTATTCTGTTTGACCAAGACATGGCCTCAGCTAGGCCTGTGGTTGTCTCATTAATGAATCTGAAGCTCCTGCTGCTGTAAAATACTGCACATGTCCCTCAACTCCCCAGGCTTCTGCTAACCCATTAAACAAGTCTTGATATTCATTTGATGTGAAACGTCTGTTTCAGACATTGGTTTAAGTATCTGAAATGTCTCCTGAAGGCTGTATTTGACAAATTTCCTTCCCTATGGTGACACATCTTTATGTGTAGGTATATCTCATCTGAATGGGAGCAAGTACTTTTGTGGAGGTAGTTCCAGAGAAACCCCAGGGTCCATGCCATGGCAAATGTGCAACAGCCTGCACTGCCTTTTGATCAAAAAGCACAGCAATATTTAACTAGTGCTGTGCTAACACATGCCTCTTTCTCTGAGGGAGGGCAGTAAAAGAGGGAGTTTTTCTCTCCGTAACAAAACATGATGCTCTTGAAGAAGAGAAGAGCATCAGTGAAACTGGTCACTAAGTGGGTAGTATGATTCACAGCAGTTCTGAGTTTTTCTCATCTCAAACCACGAAATACTGTTAGAAATGACAATGCAAACTACTTGTTTCAGGAACCTCCATGGGGAAAAAAGCAAGAATGTGCTCTCTCTTTCTCTTTCCTCCCCAAGACAAATCTTATGGCTGCTTTCTACTCCCACCCACTGGCTTCCTTGGGCTTACGGAGAACTTTGCACAAGTAACGGGGAAAAGCACAGGAAGCAGTGGTTTGTGAGTGGGATTGCATGCTTGAGAATTGTTCATAGACATACTGCAATGTACTGGTTTTGCTTTCATGGTTTGGTCTTCCTTACACTGCTCCTCTGGTTGATGCAAGGCTCCTGTACCTGTAGGTAGGAATGCAGAAGGAAACTGTTAATAACGGTTGCTCGCAGTTGACTTCCCTTCTTTCATAACAAAGCGCAGAGTTTGTAGCTCAGAATCCTACCCTGCAGCATAAGTTATTCTTTTATTGTGTGTCCATCTCTCTTGGCTTTCCAGGGTCACTTACCTTTCTGTGTATCAGCCTTGAGGCTGTCATGAGTGACTCGTCACTGCTGTTTATGGCTGGAGCAAACACTCTGGAAGAGCAAAGGGCTCGCTGGGAGAGGAAGCGCAGCCGGACAGCCAAGGAGCTGCTGGAAACAGAACACAAATACCTTGAGGAGCTGGATTTGGTGGTCACAGTAAGTATTTTAGTGCCTTCTGATATATGGGTACCTTCAGGCAGCATGTACTTATTTATGTTGTCATGGAGAAGGGTCAAGAGCAAGACTTCGAGACATTTCTACTGCATGGGGCTGAAAGTTGGGGGTTTTTTGGTTGTTTCTTTTTTATCTTGTCTGTAAGATCCAATAGCTCAGGGTATTGGCCCCTTGGCTTTGGTCTGTACACAGACATAAATCTTTAAGTTTTGACTGTATAGAGGACTCATGCTAAGATGCCTGAGTTGTATGAAATGCAGGGGCACAAGCAAGACAACAACCGATAGTGAACAAGGTGGTGAAAAGCAGATGCACCTAGGAATACTGAAAGAGATTCTTATCAGTGCTATACTACTGTCCCACATATTTACATTTATGGTCAAATTTACCAAGAAGGCTTACATCTGATGATAGAGATCTTAGGTAGGATTCACAATATTCACTATCCTTTTGAGCTAAAGAGAGTGCAGGCTGCAGCTTCTTGCTTCTGCTGTGTACCACGAGTAACCTTTGAGTGACCTGTGAATTCTACCTGTT